GTGGAAAGTAGCAGCATCTTGTTTCTCCTTTCTTTGCTTGGAAGAAAGGAGGCATACTGATACAAAAAAGGGAGTACCACTCACTTTGGAATTGGGAAGAAGAAAGTGAGTGCTTTTGCTTGATTCAAATAAATATGCTTTTCTCACTGTTCCTAAATTAAAATGGAGGGCACATTTCTTTCAGAGCCTGAGTTGATTCCAGCTATCAGCCCCAGTCACCTTTTTTTTTTTATTTTTACTGTTGTTACATTCCTCTAACTATGGTAGTGTCCCATTGTGCCTCGTGCTTTGTGCCTAGTGCTTTATAAACACGAAGGGAAAAGGCAAGCTACGTCCCAAAGAACTTGTTATTTAAGTCAAGACAGGACGGAGAAAATGGATACCGGTAAGTAGATGGAGAATGAACCAAACAGAGGCTGATAATGTAGCAGCAACTTAACAGTTACTGGCGTTGGTTTGTTGAAGGGTTTGAGGGAGAAATCATAGAGAAGGAGGATTTTGAGAAAGGCTTGCAGAAGTTTTCCAAGGTGATCCTTTCAACTAGAAGGGACTGTACAGGAGAAGATGCAGCATTTAAGAGTTTCATGGTGGCAGATAAAATGGGGACAGATTGTGATGAAACCTTTAGCTTATTATTTTCCTAGGCTGATTTTATTAATATTTGTAACAGAACGGAGTAAACTATACCCAAAATCCCACTTTTGGGGGTGGGGAGTCTGTATGTTTGTCTGCTCTGCATTTTACCGTATTTTTACCGTTACACCAGTTCACTTCTCGCTGTGACTTAAAATACCAGCAGTTCCTAGCTAGTCTTGAGATTGTTCTGAATATCAGGCTCCTCTTTTCTGAGACTGGTATAGTATATTCTCTTTCCTCATATAGTGATGGTAACACTATTTGTGTGATAAGCTGGTCATTTTTGCTTTCTCTACATAAAGAATTTCGTCCTAGGTAATCATCATGGGAGCTTCCATCTGTTTTATTTTTTCCTTTGGTTGTAGATCTATTTTCCTCTAGAAGGAGAAAACATCAGAGAGTAGCTATGAAGTGTCTTTTCCATGAGTGAAGGTGATCAAATATTTAAGTCTTTTTTCCCAAAAAATTTACTTCAAATCTAAGAGCATGAGTGGTGATGTGAAGCACCATGGTTTTACGAGTTTCTTAAATCTGGTATAGCCAGAGCCTCCCAGGGATCAAGAGATCCAAGGAATGGATGACTTGCAGAGACTGCAGTACTGCAACACTTTCAGCAATATCTGAAAACTGCAGATGTAAAAAATGTTATATTCAGCTAAAGTTTACTTGACTAAGTCCAGTGGTTGTTTTTGTTCACAGAACAGAAGTCTGGCTGGTATCGCTCTCTTTCTGTAACAGTCGTTTCAGATTTGAACTTTTCCCACGAGACCTATTTCTAGAATTAGGTTTAGATTGAGAAGTACTGTACAGTTACTGTCATAAAAACAATCTGCTATAGCTTGATTATGGAACCAAAACCAAAAATGAAGGAAATGAGAAAATGTTAGTGTAATTTCTTTAAGAAAATTAGCTGACTTTTTATAAAATTTGAGCTTCATGTTGTTGGTGTAATAAGCAAGAACTCTGGCTTTCCTTGGGAAGGATACAATTTTTACTGTAAAATAAAGGACATTCCCTATAACAGCAGGTGCTTGAGATGTGCACCCTACAGAGCATGTTTTTTTTGTAATCCCACTGAGTGGCTGGTATCATATATTTTACCACATTGTGGATTTTCAGATATGAATCAGTATCATTATAATGTTGCCCAAGGCAATTCTCTTAGTAACTTTTCTTTAGAAAGCTCTTAAGGAAGAGTTGTTACCTGCTCACCAGTACATTGTTCACATGCAAGAGTTCTTGGAGAAAGTGCTGAGTTTGTGAGATTGACAGCGATTAAAGGTTTTGTGAATAGAGGTAGTGCTCACAGGTCCACTGATGGGTAAGGGAAGGCCACTATATACTGCAGTTTCCTGGCTTTAGTGACCACGCAGTGTTTAGATAGCTAATTGGATTGACAACTGGTTAAAGAGCAGCTGCTGATTCCAGCCTGAAGAGAGGGAAGTCTTGTGAAGAAAAGCTGCTTCTACATGCCTTCCTGAAGCATTGCTCTAGAGCTGAATTGTCCTGAAATACTTTCCTATGGTCTGCACAGCCATGAAATAAAATAAGTACGGTATGTGCCTTATGAATGAAGTTTCAGTGACCACACTGTGGGTGCTGGCATTGTCACTGTTCAGGTTCTGGTTTCACAACCCAGCTAAGCTGGGAATTGCCCAGTGGTTGGCAGGTAGCTGTATGTACTTTCAGCTTAAGGCTAAAGAGGATCAGAAGAGGACCCATGCATGACTTAGTGTGTTGCCATCTGAGCTAAGGGTGGAAGGAGGAAAAAATACATCCATTTCATGTTATCACTTTGATAAGCCTGTCCTTATAAAGGACTTCCATTAAGTTGTCCATGCGTTAGGAAATACATCTCGGATTCTACTTTAAATAATATATTACTCATTCATTACAATTAGATATGAAGGAGGGAGCGGATTGAAGGATGCAAAGATGTTAGAGTTTTGTTTTACTTATGGTAACTGAGTGAAATTTTAAGGTCTCTGATATAAAAGAGTTCAGACTAGATTATCTAATGGTCCCTTCTGCATTTATGCACTGTGAAGTAATAAAGAACCAGTTTTGTTGTCAAGTCTACAAAGTAAATTAGTGTTGATCAGAAAGGGACTCGTTAAGTTCCTCCATTTAATCTCCTTAAATTAAAACTAAATCAAAATTTAGAAACAAAACCTTTGTTTCTGAGTTATTTTTGCTGTCCACCAATGATATTCCAAATTACAAAATCAGGAGTTAAACTTCATCTACAGGAAGGATGCGACTTGTTCCTGTTTATCTTACAATCTTTCTTAGCTGGACTGTAATATTATCATTAGTGAATTTTGAAATCCCTAATAATGAGCATTTATGGATGAGTTTTTGTTGCACATCTAAATGCTTAGTATAGTATGGAGTCCTACAAGTGGCTGCCATCCAACTGACCGTAAGTGCTCTCCTTCTCAGTATCAGTCGTAATCTAGAGTGTGTTCATGGTGGCTCAAGCTAACACAGGTGACTTCTGAGCTGGGATGAGCAAAGAGGTACACACTACTCATTACTGCAGGTGCTGTAGCAGATTTTTAAGGCAGAGTACTTCAATCACTTTCAGTCATGGGGACATGCCCTCATGAATGGAATGGCAATCCAGCAGCCTATTGAGGGCCAAATGTGACCCTTAATACTTTTGTGTGCAATGACCCAATACCATGCCTGCACTTACTATTACTACTTCTATGAACAGCAAGACTTTAGTTTCAAAGGCCTTTTGAGCTTTAGTCAGGGACTAAGATACCGCTGAGCTAGGTACTATATTGGTACAGAACACAACCATAGCTCCTGCCCAAATGGCTTGTTATCTAGGTGTAAGATAAGAGACAACAGGTAGGCAGATGGGGAACATGGGGAGACTCTGAGGCAATACTGATCAGCATAGTGAGCAGTAATATCAGTACTTTGCAAAGTGTGACTGCAGGCAGTGATTTACAGGAAGCTCCCCCCATGCAACATGAGGGGAGACAAACGTGCTTGTTTGAAAATCTAGTGGAAGCTGGTATAAAATTTTTGGCTGTGGTGGGAATCATTTTTTCATAC